AGAAATTGCAGTTACGTATAATTACTGCGCGTACTCTGTGTAATACTACCAAAAATTGTATATATGTACGTATCACGTATCACGTATCACGTATGCATTATATGCGAGATGTGTATGCATATATGCATTACATATTAGGCTAATTGTTTCAGCTTTGACACGTGCATTGCATTCAAGTTTCACATTGAGATATACGAAATCTTTGCTTTAAAATAACACGAGTTACAAAATCTTGAATTTAAAATGCTCTGCAAATTGCTGGATTTTAAGCTAGAACGATCAGATTAAAAACTTTAATCAAATTAATGTTAATGATGGAACGCTTCGTAATTTTTGTATTATACATGTTATATTAAATATATCTGGTATCAAACACGTATTAATTACCGCAAAAATTCTTATCTTAAAATTTTTTCATCTTACGTGACAAGAATCACAAATACAACAACGTTATACAAATAAATAAACGTGAACTGCGTGTAATGCCTGAAACGTAAGCTTGTCGCAAGCTTTTATGAAAGTTCGATCTATGAAATGACCAGTCGCACGAATATACCATCAAAGGTAACCGTAACATTGAATGACGCAACACTCAAGGGAGAAATGGCCGCACGTGAGCTTTACGATTTCGTATGAAGATAAATGTGATGCAATCACGTGGCAAGCATGCCTGAAGTCGTCAGATTCCACGATACTCATGGCAGAAAAATTTCACCGTAACTGTATGCTGTAACGTAAAATATGACTGACCCTTATAATCCGCCATATATCTTGATCAAGCCCGTAATCATTTACACCGGCTTTATATCCCACCAATATGTTCATTTATTGATACTTGATGACATTTCAGGGATTACTTACTTACGAAAATAAATGAGGAAAAAAAGAAATTTAACGTAATACTCTAGTAATTTGTTTTTTTACGAGATTTGCGGAGAAGAAAAAATGGTAGTCTCTCATAAAATTTTTATTTCTGAATTTAATTTTAATATCCTCGTTGTATATATATATATATATTATTCAATTTGATATTCAAACAATTTACGCAAATTTAATTTACATTTATTTATATTCATTTACATTTATTTTAGCAAATATATATTACAATACATGCAATACAAAAGTTGTTATATTGTGTAATAATAAATTACATACAGTTTAATTTTGAAATCTAAGATAGGGACGTTCAGGAACACATCAGTTTCTCTATCAGAAATGATAAAATAAGAATTTTTTCGTATTAAGCAAATACGATTATATGAAGTCGTAATGAAATTTCAAGCAATTTGCCGATTCGTCGGCTTCTAAAGAATTCTTTATCTCCAAAAAGAAGGCGCGAGTCACATAGGCGATTATCAACATCTTTTACTTGGCGTCACAGTTTACTGTTCTTGCTAATTCAGTGGAGCAAATAAGCCACACTATCGTAACAAGCCCTTACGGGATCGAGCGTACAATAATCGATGTTAGGGAGCATCGCCGGCAATACGGCGCTAACTGGAGTTATTAAACTCGTGACCTATCCAAGGGTATAACAATGAAGATCCGATATCGTGAGACAATGAGTGGATGGCGTAGAATTTGCAACATGTCTGTCCTTAAAGTGATGGCTCTCGACCTTTTCGATGACTAGCGTTCCGCAGATATAAAATATATTCTCGCTGTGAAAAGAGAAGTACATCTACATTTTTTTATCGGTGAATAATAAAAATTGCGCAGATATGAAATCGTCAATCATTTTTTTTACATTCTGTAAAACATTTGTCATATCTGACATTTCTAGATAGTGTTTTTCATATGGAATTTATTTGCCTTTGATCAAAATTACTGATCCAAAGCATTTCATAATTGTAATAAAAATGCAATAACGACTTTGGCTTTAGTACGTTTGTATTTTTATCATTTTTTCCTTTTGTATATATGGAAAAAAAATACTGCAACGTATTGTGGAACCTCGCAATTTTTTTTTACTGAGCACGCATTGGATCCTATAGAAACGATTAAATCGATGATGCGCAACGCGACGACCGATTCATTCGACGTGTGTCCATTCCAGTTTGTGAGCCGTGTAGGCAGCGTAAATACTGATTTTGCACCGAATAGGTTTATCATTCGAGTTCTTTTTCAGCTGCCACGCTTTTCAGCTTTATTGTTGCGTGATATAAATTAAGATGAATCTTTATCACACGTTATTAATTGAATATTGGTGGAAATTTCATTGGCAAAAATATTTCTCACAGAAACAATTGCATCTTTTATTATATATTTACAAGAGTGAATAAAAAATGTGCAAAGTATTTATTCAGCATTTTTCCTTTTGCGAAAGGAATTGCTTATGTAATCAATCAGGTTTTTGAGCAGACTCTCGTCCAGATTGATTTAGCCGGCTTTTTATTTAATAGCAATAAGAATGGAAAAACGGAAACGGGAAAATCTAATAACACCGCAGATTTGATGTAATGCTGATTACCCTCTTCCGTTGTCGGATTTGTACATTCATCGATCATTACCAGCGCTAATGCCGCGTATCGCGAGCGTTAGTTTTAAATGTATTCAGTAGGTTCTTCCCTTCTCGTGAAAAGAATCGCCGCGATCTTAATCGCAGTCGTTACTATGATTTACGAAGAGATTTCCGCGGCCTCTTTTTTTCACGGGTTAAGTGCGGAGACGGTTTTCTCTTTCTCTTCCTCTCTTTTTTCGCTTTTGGATGTTGCTCGCACCGCAGGATGAGAGTTTCGAAAGCAATTTATCATAAATTCAATAAAACACAGGCCGCCAATCTAACCGACTATTGCGCAAGCGTTAATTTAAACCACGAGAAGCAAAAAGAGAGTGAGAGAGGGAGAGCAGAGGGAGAAAGAGAGAGAGGAGGGGGGGAGAGGATTTGAGAGGATTTGATTTGACTCGACGTTGCTAGGCTCGTTGCTTTCGGAATTGCCAGAGCTTATCTCGAATTGGATGATAGGCACCTTCGAAATTCCCTGCCAGATATTCTCTTGCGAAGCCTCCTCTTCGCTTTCTCCGTATTTATGTAACGTTAATCTGAATATTTATAATAAATACGATTTTCATTGCTTTTTAATTTGATTAAAAACAAATATTTGAAAAATTTTTTAGACTCATTTCAATTATTTTAACTATAAATTTATGCGAGCAAATTTTTTTGTTTATTTCCGTTATTTCATTTCCGTTTATTTGTTAGATGAATTTAATATTTCTTTGTATTTTATTATTTATCGTAATTGCTTTAAATATAAAATTTTTTTTATACATATGTATAAATGTGTGTATATATGGATACACATTTATGTATATATATGAGATGTAGATTATTCTACATATTTAATATAATATAACGAAATGATTTGTGTTTCTTCTCCCTATTTTTGAAAATCGTATGCGTAAGATGATCTTTCACAAAATACGACTCATATATGATGAAGTGCTGTCAGATAAAATTACCATGAAAATGGCTAAATATGTAAGTTAAATAAGACAGTTATATATGAGAGCGATATTTATGAAAATGAATAAATTAAAATAGATATAATTTTAATAGTTTCAACTTTGAATGCTACGCATGTAGGAAAATTTATTTTACACCAAATGTATGTTTCTAACTTCGCGAATAAACATGTATTATATTATACTACATAGTTGTAATCTCTGATAGAAACATCACTCGTATTTACAACGTAGATTGTTCTGCTACATGTGGTTATTTTATCTTGAATTTAATATGATGTGGATTTAATACGAAGAACACACTCAATATAAATGTGAAAATCAGAATTGCTTACAATTAACATTGAATATTTTTTATCAGCGATGTAGCGTAAGATTTTACAGAAAGAATATTCTTTGTTATTTGCTAATTTTAATATCGATGTTATATCTTTAATTTCTCTGGTAACGGTTAGCTGAAAGATACAAATTAATAGATGATAAGAAGTTTAATTTGTTTGTTTCGAATTTGATTAATTAATTATGTAAGATTTATACGTAAAGTTAAAATTATAATCCGACGAAGGATACAATCTTTTAGTCGTTGAATCTATAGTCCAAAGTATAGTTTGACGATGTTTTATCTGTAAATGAAACTCATTTCACTTGATATCTCAAACCGTAGTTACGTAAATGATCGTGACTAATTGCACCCAAGATACGCGAAACCACGAAGTATAATGTGCGCGGCAACTGACAAGTATAACATGACATGGCAGTCGACGCGGAGTGCGATGTCTGTTCGCATAAATTCAGATATAATAGGTTGCAAGAGCGATAATGAATGATATATGTTGTGAACATAACACATGCACATACAAGATATCTTATAACTCGCCACCTTAATTTAATGATAAGTTTTCTGACCAATTTTCAATTATTTATTTTTATCGTTTCAGTCAGCAAGAATAATCTTTTACAATTTTAAGTATATAACGTGTCTCTTATTTTATTCAAAAGTTCGTATCATCTTCGCACAAATTCGACATTTGCATGACTTATTTCTAAATTATCTATGTACAGAGTGTCCCATGGGAAGTTGTTGAAACTAATTAGCTGTCATTTTTAAACGCACATAGGGAGCAAGAAAAATAAAATATCATCTAACAGAGAATATTTTGCAGTTTTATTTACATATAAACTAAAAATGATCGGAAATTTTTATTATTAAATAAACGTTTATAAAAAAAATGCCAAATTTTATTACAGTAAAACTAAAATGTCTTCTGTTAGAAGATATTTTATTTTTCTTGCTGCTTATGTGCGTCTAAAAATGACAGCTAATTAGTTTCAGCAACTTCCCATGGGACACTCTGTACACTCTGTTTTACTGAAGAAAAAAACATACACATACATAGTTATTTTCGGATTCTTCTAAATGAAAAGCAATGCCAGAAATAAAATAATTTCCAGAATTGTTTTACATATATAATAAGAAACAAATTTTCCGTAGAAAATGCTCCATCATTTATCAAAATTTCGTCTTTTATGTTCAGTCGGCTCTGTAAGCGTGGAGTGCTAAGCCGAGGAATGGAGGGAACGTGGCAGTGGGAGCAGCGAAAGCACTGCCATATCATTCTGCTCAACTCTTTGTCGTATCTAAAGGAGAACCCGGAACAGGCTGCAGGTGAGCCCTTCTAAATCAGCACATTTTTTGCTCGGTCGATCCTCATCATGAAAATAGCTTCGTCTCACTGCGTCGATGAAAAAAAAGGGGAGATCTTAAAAACGGGTTTCGCTCGGTCGCTAGAACGATTATCTTTTCATCTCAATATCAAGCTAAGAAGAAAGATTCCGAAAATGTAACGAAGAAAAAATTTAATGGGATTGATTTCAATCTGCGGGCGCTTTTAAATTGAATGACCCATATTTTTAAAAATAACGCAAAGCTTGGCCTGACTGATAAATTTTATTCGTATCATTGGCTTTCTTTTCGATAAAATCGATTTCGGTTCTCCAATTATCATCTCGATTGTCATTTATTTTGTTTGAAATTTATCTTTAAACCGATTTATTAATAAATCGTTGTATATTAAATAATAACGCTTTTATATAATATTCTTTCACGTTTTAAAATTGATTTTATCTCTTTTAATTATTTAACACTATTAATTGATTTCACAAAAATACGGTTACAAAGATTTTTCCTAATTGAAACATTTTGCTTCTAAAATTTGCGATTCTACATCATTTAATCCAATGATGTAAAATATTATAAAACATTTGACATTTGTTAAATGCTGAGAAACAAGAAAATTTGCTAATTTAAATAACAAATTTCAATTTTACTCAAAATTAATAGTATTATATTACGACTTTAGTCAAATACGCAGGCACGAAAGTTTCAGATGAACGAAAACGACTGCATGATTGCTACGGCAAGGAAGCAGACAACCTGAAAACAAGGAGTCGCGCGCCAGGTCTGTAGCGCATAGTTAGGACGCGAGGGGCTCCCCGTGAAGCATCACCGAGGTGAAGAAGACGGTGTCGTCATGGACCCGGCAACCCAAATCGTACCTCACTGAGCGATGCAAGTAATTAGGGCCGGGGCCCTGCTAGTGAGCATGTGGCTCACTAGAGAATGAAGAAGCAAAACGTCCGGACTTTATCATTGATCGTCTTCACGCTTACCTATCTCCTCGTCGGTGCCGCAATCTTCGACGTACTCGAGTCCGAGACGGAGAAATTACGCAAAGAAGCATTAGATGGTAAGAGTGATGAGCTGCTCATTCATAGTTTCATTAATTTCGAGTGCATTTTGAAAAAGAATATTTTGTGATTTTTTCAAGTAATTCTGTCTCCTACTTTTTGTCATACGTGGTATCTAATAATCTCTTCGTCGTTGCTTTTAATCTGGCTTGGAAGAATAGAATTTTATTGAGCGAATAGACTCCAAAGAAAACAAAGACGTCTGGAAACTTCTAAAGAACATGAGAGGGATTAGAGTGATCTGTTAGATGTTTTTGCAACACTTTTATATATTGTGTTTATATATTTGTGTTGTTTGGAGTAAAAGTCTTTTTATTGCTATTCGTGTAAATTATTTAACTATATCGATAAACATTATACGAAATGAAGAATATTAGATGATGCTTCATGATTGAACACGGTTTGTGTGGCAATAATAGCATTCGTACGAGGCACAGTATATATTATGCAGAGAGGCACTCAATGCAAGAACGTCGTTGCACTGTCGTCGAAGGGGAACGATCTTACAATGTAGCGACCATTGTCTCGCCGATGACTCGAAACACTTGATAAATAAAATCCCCCGCAAGCTTTATAAATTCTGCAGACAACCGAGTAGAGTGGTGATTCTCGCGTCTCGTATCTTTTTTTTTTTTTATGAAGACAAGCCGTGGCCTTTGTTTGCGGGAAAGCGATATCTGACATATAATTTTATTAAAAGTATCGAGTTACCGTCGTTTCGACGCCGGGCATTTTCCAATAGACATTAAAAGTGTACTCCGAAAAGTTCAAAGTTCATTAATCTTTTTATTTAGCTTTATGATATTCACTCTTGTCTTTCGGCATTCGATACCAATAATAATACCAATAATAATAGCAATACGCGCGATTGTCAAGTGTCTTCAATCGGATTTTCAAGATTTAAGGTAAAAGTTCCTATTGCTGAACACGTCCTGTTACCTGAGCGACTAAGAAAAGTATGTTTTTTTAAAGGATATTGTGAATTAATAGCGACGGTGCAAAAAAATAATTGAAATTCTTTTAATTGTATTAATAAATTTCGGATAAAATAATTTCAGTTCGCCAATGAAATGTATTTCAAATAATGAATATTTAGATATGCAGAGATGTAATAATAGTATGTTAAAAGAGCAAAACAGTCATAATTTTGTATACGCAATAGCTCAGTAATGAACAGAAGCACTTTTTTACAAAGGCATGATGGAAAATTTTCGTGCTTTAAAGTTATTTAATAGATTTGTCTAAAAGCACAAATTTTAATGTACATCACGAGCATTGCAATCAAGTAAGCATGTGTGTAGTCTCTTTAAACTTTAGTATTTTAACGTAAACTTATTTAATTATTTTTTATTATTTCAGATAAAAATAGTCAAAATATGTAAATAAATAATGAATTTGAAAATGCTTTCTCTAAGTCTGTAAAACGCAAAAAAAATTAGAAAAAAGAGAAAATACTTTTAGTTGCTGCCTCAGAAAAATGGAATTTTTGCAAGTAAAAAGAAGATTAATGTCACGTATTAAAGCTGAAAAAACAGCGAGAAAAAGCACAAATTCTAAAATTGCAACAAAAAGCAGTTAAGCAAAAACTTTAAAAAGAAGTAAACAAAATTAGAGCACAAGAAAAACTTAATTAAAACAGAAAAACGATTGAGAAGTCTTTCAAAAAGTCTTACTGAATTTAAATAGAAAAATGTAAATTTATAAAGTCAAATATACATATATATTTACTTAAATAAATTACTCCTGTTTATTTATTTATTTTGTATAAAAAGCTGACTACTGCTGAGTAGTTATTTTTTGTCTAATAACACGTTCAAGTAATGGGACAGTATTTAGTATTATGAACAGACGTTCAGATAAGAATTCAGTATACATGTGAATATTTTAACTATTTCGCTTATTTATTTTATTTTAAATAACATTAAAAGTTTACTATTTTTTATATATCAAAGTAGATTTAATAAGCTTTTAAATGAATGCAGAATGCTATATTTTTAGTGTAATTTTATTATTTTTTAGTAAAAAAAATTATAAGAAAAGTTTTAGTCGTTCGGGTGTTGGTGCTTTTACCTTACGTGTATTAATCTAATTATTGCACTCTTTTTGCTTGCAGCCATTGAAAAAATGGTCATACGAAAATATAATATAAGCGAGGACGACTTCAAGATCATGGAAACAGTGGTGCTGAAGACGGAACCTCACAAAGCTGGCCAGCAGTGGAAGTTCGCTGGCGCGTTTTATTATGCTACAACGGTCCTCACCACGATAGGTATGTATTGTAAAATTTTTGTTGTTTACTAAATATTATTAAATAGTTTAAATTAATTATGAGTTTATTACAGTGAACCACCATTGTACTAGTTTTGATTTTTATTAAAATCTTTTTAATATTTCGAACATTCAATGCGACAACTTAGAAAAAACAGATTATTTTGACATTTTAGATTTCTAAATTTTATAAATAGAATAAACAAAAATTTATGAAAATTTATCATTTTTTATAGAATTTTTTAAATTAGATATTTAGATATTTGCTAATTATACAGAAGTTCGAGGTACAAACTAGAATGTTTTGATCAGTTATACACGTCTATATTATATACAATATTTTATTTTGTTTGGAGAACATTGAGTTATACGATTTCGAAGTTATAATTTATATTTCTTTGATTTAATAAAATTTATTAACAGTCTTATTTTAATATTCCAGGTTACGGACACTCGACGCCGAATACTGTATACGGCAAACTGTTCACGATGTGCTATGCGATTATTGGTATCCCATTAGGACTCGTAATGTTCCAAAGCATAGGAGAACGGTTGAATAAGTTCTCATCTGTCGTGATACGGAGCGTAAAGCAGCTTCTAAACTGTAAGGACGTCCAGGTAACAATAGCTTGGTCGGAGTACGTTCCTTGTCGGATATTTCGTATGCAATTCAAACAAAATTTATCGCGAACAAATACACATTCTACATCAAGCCGAATATACGAATTACATGATGAAAACTAACAAAATTTTCGAATTAAGCCCAAATAACATTATAAAATTTTATTAAATATGAGTGAAGTTGAGTTGCCTAATTAATAGAAAAATGCTATTTATAAAATAGCAAAATAACAAAATTATAATTAGGGATTGCATGAGCAATCGGCAGAATCATTGGAAATGTAACTTATGTGCATTTATTGTAAATATTTCATATTGCATTGCTCCTGATTTTGCTTTAAATTAATACGCGGTGTGTTGCAGGCCTCGGAGATAAATCTCATCTGCGTGGTTACGACTTTGTCTTGCTTGACTATTGCTGGCGGCGCCGCCGCATTCTCCAGGTACGAAGGGTGGACCTACTTCGATTCCATTTACTATTGCTTTATTACTCTGACGACAATCGGCTTCGGCGACATGGTCGCGTTGCAAAAGGACAACGCGCTCAACAAGAAGCCCGAATATGTGATGTTCGCTTTAATATTTATTCTCTTCGGCTTGGCGATCGTGGCAGCCTCGCTTAATTTGCTGGTTTTGCGATTTGTCACGATGAATACCGAAGACGAAAGACGAGACGAAGCCGAAGCATTGCAGGTACAAATCATTTTTATTCGTATCTACATTCGTTTGTGTTTTTCTCGCATATTTAATGTAATGCTCAAATTGTTATTTTACTTTTTAACGGAATTTTTTTTTATGTCAGGGATTCATAAATTTGTATCGTTAAATAGTGTTCCTTAAATAGTGTTTTTTAAAAATATGGGCACTGTTTACGGAACATGATATACGTACCTACGGGCCTACGGTATTCACGGACTAAAATAGCACTATTATAATTGGCCTAATGTAGCAGAGACTTAATATAGCCGTATATGTATGCATCGGCTAATTTTATTAGCCACTCCCATTCTTTCTGTAATGAACGACCGTATACTTAGTCGGACATAAATCGAATATTCTCGCATCGCAGGCGGCCCAGGGCGCGGTGCGTCTCGAGGGCGATGTAATAACGGCGAACGGCTCGATACTGTCCGGCCAGATCGGCAATCACGGCAACGTGATAACGCTGGACGACGAGGCGTCGGTGTGCAGTTGCCGCTGCAGCGGCTTCCAGAGGAGACGGCGGAGACCGCGCTTCACAGTACGCCGTTCGCCCGGCAAAATCTCGCATTTGCTGCCGATGCAACAGCTGTCGGCGCTGAGTGTGCGGGGCGGCGAGTTGCACCCGCTGCCGCCGCTCACACCGCTTCTGCAATTCCCGCGGCTGTATCAGCATCGCGCGAGCATCTGACGTTGCTCGCCTGCACGAAGCGTGCAGATCTTGGAACAGGAACAGCATCACTATTACGAGCAGCCGCGACGGTTGTCCGTCTGAGGAGAGAATTTCTCTCCGCCAGCCGTCGCCGCCGCCGACTTCAACGAATTTTAATTGTCGTCGAGACGTTATCATCACCGCCACAAGTTCTCTTTCTCTCTCTCTCTCTTCTCTCTCTTCTCTCTTCTCTCTCTCTCTCTCTCTCTCTCTTCTTCTTCTTCTTCTTCTTTCTTCTTCTCTCTCT